ATTTTTGAGGTTAATTGTGAAGAGGGTTGTAGAATCGTTCCACTGTGATTTTCGTTTGGCGCGACGATCGAGGAGGTCTGGCCCCCTCCCCGTCGCCCGTCCTCGGGCTGCTTCTGACGATCCCCGGGTCCTCTGATCACCGAGCGCGTTCCACTACCCGCAAAGCGCCTACTCGCAAACATCCGAAAAAAGCACAGGTCTGCTCTGAGGTAATCTATCGCAGATCCCCCGCGGGGGACCCGGGGCCATTTGCGAGCAGTTATTCTGCGAGTCGTGGAACGCGCTTGTCTTTTTGAGGCCGAAAGAAATATTCAAAGCCTCCCGTCCTTAGTTGCCTCGATAAGCGCGCTTTGAAACGCAACACGTCCCGTGTTCAAGACGTCCGTGTCAATACGCTGCGTGTTGGCTCCACGTATTGGACCACGTTTTGGCGAATGCAGCGCGTCGGACCTACATTTTCAGCCTACGTGTTGAGCTCCGTATCAATACGATACGTGCTGCGTGTTGCGTATCGGGGCAGCTACCGTCGCTATCGGTGCCGCGACGCGGGGAGGTCCGGGGCCGGCTCTTCGCTCCGCAGTTCCCCTCGTGCTCGCGCGCGCCCCCCCGACGGCGAAGCCCGTCCCCTCCTGGGCGCCACGGGACACGCCGGGGCGCAGGGCGCCATCTAGGCGCAGGCCGATGTGTCAAGCCATATCTTTCAATTGCTTATATGTTTTAGAAGCCTGTTCTGTGCTTATACATATATGTGTGTACTTGTACGAATAACGAAATAGAACAAGATAATGAGAAATATACATATAACACAAACACAAACACACACACACACACACACACACACACACACACAACAACAACAACAACAACAACAACAACAACAACAACAACAACAACAACAACAACAACAACAACAACAACAACAACAACCACAACCACCACAACAACCACAACCACAACCACAACCACAACCACAACAACAACAACAACAACAACAACAATATATAGAAAACCATAAAACAAATAGCCTGGCGAAGGACCCAACCATGAAATTGCAGTTGTGAATACAGTCATCGGTGGAGCTTTGTATGGGGCCACGAAACGTGTGAGGGGTGCGCCGAAAATGGTGCCGCGGACACATGTGGACACCGCCGTTGGGGCCTTCGGTGGAGCTCCCTATGGGGCCACGAAACGCGTGAGGGGTGTGCCGAAATGGGTGGCGCGGACGCATGTGGACACCGCCATTGGGGCCTTCGGTGGAGCTCCCGATTGGGCCACGAAACCTGCGAAGGGTGTGCCGAAATGGATGGCGCAGACGCATGTGGACACCGCCACTGGGGCCTTCGGTTGAGCTCCCCATGGGGCCACAAAACTTGTGAGGGGTGTGCCGAGATGGATGGCGCAGACGCATGTGGACACCGCCACTGGGGCCTTCGGTGGAGCTCCTATGGCGCCACGAAACGTGTGAGGGGTGCGCCGAAATGGGTGGCGCGGACGCATGTGGACACCGCCATTGGGGCTTTCGGTGGAGCTCCACATGGGCCACGAAACATGTGAGGGGTGCGCCGAAATGGGTGGCGCGGACGCATGTGGACACCGCCACTGGGGCCTTCGGTGGAGCTCCTATGGCGCCACGAAACGTGTGAGGGGTGCGCCGAAATAGGTGGCGCGGACGCATGTGGACACCGCCACTGGGGCCTTCGGTGGAGCTCCCTATGGGGCCAGGAAACGCGTGAGGGGTGTGCCGAAATAAGTGGCGCGGACACATGTGGACACCGCCATTGGGGCCTTCGGTGGAGTTCCTAGTGAGGCCACGAAACGTGTGAGGGGTGCGCCGAAATCGATGGCGCGGACGCATGTGTACACCCCCATTGGGGCTTTCGGTGGAGCTCCATATGGGGCGACGACACGCGTGAGGGGTGCGCCGAAATGGGTGGCGCGGACGAATGTGGACACCTCCATTGGGGCATGCGGTGGAGCTCCTATGGGCTCACGAAACGCGTGAAGGGTGTGTTGGAATGGACATGCGGAAGGCAGAGGCAAGGAGGGGGGGAGGAGGAAGGAGGGGGAGGAGGAGAGGAGGAGGAGAGGAGAGGAACGCGGGGCACCGTCTCTTCAAAACGACGACCCAACACCACATGATGGTTGGGAACAAACAACAACAAAATAGCCGGGCGAAGGACCCAACCATATGCAGTTGTGAATACCGCAATTTTGCTGGGTGGTGGCGGACGCATGCGGGCGGTGCCACTGAGACCTTCGGTGGAGGTCCCTATGGTACCACGAAACGCTGTACTGCGTGGGCGGAACGCAGGGAGCAAAGGCTGTGCTGGACGGTGGCGGACGCATGCGGGCGGTGCCACTGTGACCTTCGGTGGGGCCCCCTTTTATGGGGCCACGAAACGTTGTACTAGGTGGGCGAAACGCAGGGAGCAAGGGCTGTGCTGGGTGGTGGCGGACGCATGCGGGCGGTGCCATTGGGACCTTCGGTGGAGCACCCTTATGGGGCCACGAAACGCTGTACTGTGTGGGCGAAACGCAGGGGGCAGGGGCTGTGCTGGGTGGTGGCGGACGCATGCGGGCGGTGCCATTGGGACCCTCGGTGGAGCCCCCCTGTATGGGGCCACGAAACGTTGTACTGGGTGGGTGAAACGCAGGGGGCACGGGCCGGGCTGCGCTGGGTGGTGGCGGACGCATTCGGGCGGTGCCATTGGGACCCTCGGTGGGGCCCCCTTTATGGGGCCACGAAACGCTGTACTCGGTGGGTGAAACGCAGGGAGCAAGGGCTGTGCTGGGTGGTGGCGGACGCATGCGGGCGGTGCCATTGGGACCTTCGGTGGAGCCCCCTTTTATGGGGCCACGAAAAATTGTACTCGGTGGGTGAAACGCAGGGAGCAAGGGCTGTGCTGGGTGGTCGCGGGCGGATGCGGGCGGTGCCACTGGGACCTTCGGTGGAGCCCCTTTTTGGGGCCACGAAAAATTGTACTGGGTGCCATTGGGACCTTCGGTGGAGCCCCCTTTTATGGGGCCACGAAACGCTGTACTCGGTGGGTGAAACGCAGGGAGCAAGGGCTGTGCTGGGTGGTGGCAGACGCATGCGGGCGGTGCCATTGGGACCTTCGGTGGAGCCCCCTTTTATGGGGCCACGAAAAATTATACTCGGTGGGTGAAACGCAGGGAGCAAGGGCTGTGCTGGGTGGTGGCGGACGCATGCGGGCGGTGCCATTGGGACCTTCGGTGGAGCCCCCTTTTATGGGGCCACGAAAAATTGTACTCGGTGGGTGAAACGCAGGGAGCAAGGGCTGTGCTGGGTGGTGGCGGACGCATGCGGGCGGTGCCACTGGGACCTTTGGTGGAGCCCCCTTTATGAGGCCACGAAACGCTGTACTGGGTGGGTGAAACGCAGGGAGGAGGAGGGAAGAGGGGAGGAGGGACGAGGAGGAGGAGGAGGAGGAGGAGGAGGAGGAGGAGGAGGAGGAGGAGGAGGAGGAGGAGGAGGAGGAGGAGGAGGAGGAGGAGGAGGAGGAGGAGGAGGAGGAGGGACGCGGAGATCGTCTCCTCAAAACGAGGACCCAACACCACAGGATGGTTGGAAAAAAAACGGAAACATACATAAAAACAGCAGCCGCAACAACAAAAACACACACACACACACAAAACAACAAACAAACAAAAGTCCCCTCGCGGGCACCAGCGGGGGGGGGGAGGGCCACGGAGCGGCGCCGGGCGAGGCGCGGGGCCCGGCGGGCCGCGGGGGGGCCCGCTCGCTGGGGCGGCCCGCGGGCTCCGCGGCCTCCGCGGCGAGGAGGCAGCCCGCGGGCTCCGCGGGCTGGAACGGTTCCTTGTCCAAACGGGGCTCGCGTTTGGCTGGCAGGCCCGTGGGGCCAGCGACTCTCAAGGGGTGGGCGTCCGATAGAGGCAGGAGTGCGTGCGCAGGACAGAGGGCACGAGTCCGCTGATGCTTGTGGACACTTCCAAGCTCAGGGGGAGGAAGAAACACACAGACACAAGTGATCGTCGGTTCCCAGGAAGATATGGGAAGTGGGGGGGAAGACCAAAATCCTGGAGAATATGGGAAGTGGGGGGGAAGACAAAAACCCTGAAACAAAAATTAAAAAAATGGGGAATCCTGTTATTTGTGTCTGTTTCTTTGTGTGTCCCAGGGCCCCTTGAACTGCGCAAGGCGGCGGGGCGGGGGCGCGGCCAGGGCAAACGCGGTCCGCCAAGGCCCCACTCGGCTTGTGATGTTCCACTCTACTCCAGCCTTGATCACCAGAAGAACTTCGAGCGCCAGAACAGGGTACGGAAACTCAAGGAGTTTCGCGCGGCGGGCCCTAGGAGACACTCGTCCGGCACTGTCCCGACACTGTCTCGACACGTTTTCGGCACTTTTCCGGGTGCTCGAAAATATTTCTGGGATGTGTTTTTTTAAGCACGATGGGAGCAACATGACACTCGGCTTGAGCCGGGCATGTCCCTCTGCAGGAGGAGTTTTCAGGAACAGTAGAAACATAGTCTGGGGACCATGTTTCGTGCTCTTTCAACTATTTTCGATCGTTTGTTGACTGTTTGTCGCGTTTCTCCCAAAATCCGCCTGTAGGGGGGCATGCCCGACCTAACACTCGGCCTGCGGAGGAGCCCCGCTCACCGAGCGGAGGTCCTGGCTTTGCTGCCCTTCCTTTGGCGCGCAGGTTGGCCGTCCGCACTGTGTTCTGCGGCGCCCTTGCCACTCTGAATTTTCTACTGGCCAACGTAGACCTGGAACGTTCGGTGATGAGGCCACTCTGAACTCCAAGAGGCGTCCTGGCGGCGGCCAACGTTCTACCTGCTGGCGTGTGGGCCGCTCTGGTGACTGAGCGTGCTAATCCGGTGCCAGTGCCTCTGGCACCGGAGCCGGTGTGGGGCGCTCTGCTTCGTCTCTCGGGCTTGCCGTTCCTGTTGGCGCTTGCTTTTGGTCAGCGACTGCTCGAAGTCCCTCTTGGCTTGTTCCCGCTCCCTCATCCTGTTCCTCTTCCTCATCCTCCTCCTCCTCCTCCCCGTCCTCATCCTCCTCATCCTCTTCATCCTCCTCTTCCTCCTCTTCCTCCTCCTCCTCTTCCTCCTCCTCCTCCCCCACTTCCTCCTCCTCATCCTCCTCATCCTCCTCCTTGTCCTCCTCTTCCTCCTCATCCTCCTCCCCGTTCTCCTCCACCCCCCCTTCTCTCCTAAATAACTCCTGTTGTCTGTTGCACCCCCAGACGTGCCGGTAGGGCGGACCGGGCGTTTCGCTCGAGACGTCTTCGCAGTGTATGATCTTGAAGCTCGACATGCGCAACAGGTTCAAGGATGATGGGAGGACCGATTTCAAAATGCGGCGCTTTCGCTTTGGCGGCGTGCACCTTTCGTTGGAGAGTTCGCAGCCGCTTCTGGGACGGAGGACGGGTTGCTCTCAAGGTGTGGCTCTCGCCCCCGGCGCCGCGCGCACATCCGCTTTCAAAACGTGCGACGGCTTCAAAAACGAAAGGCGGCTGGTTTTCAAGTTGCAGCTCTAGTTCTAGCGCCGTGGAAAGTTGTTTTAAATCAGGTCAACCGTATGGTTGAAGTCCCAGGGATTACATTGTGTCACGATTCTGTCTGTCAGGACGGAACAGATACGTTGATTCGCGACGTTGGCGTTCCAGAAGCGGTGTTCTGGCACGGATCATGACTGTCAGGACGCCACAGTCGCGTTGATTCGCGGCGTCGAAGTCCCAGGCATGCCTGTTGGCACGATTCAGCATTGTCAGCCGGTTGTCTTCCAACGAGGTGCATCCCGCAATGAGCATGAATTCTTGTAGGGGCTTATGAGGAGGAAATTTGAAGTAGGAGGGTGTTGAAACATCGTTGATGCATCTTGGATTTGCTTTGGCCTTCCCCCTCGTCCTCGTCATCCCTCTCTGCCGCCTCCCCACTCCTCCCCTCTCCATGATCCTCTCCTCTCCTCCCTGCATCTGCTCTTTTCCCCTCCTCATTTACCCTCTTCTTCCTCCTCATCCTCCTCATCATCATCATCAGCAGCATCATCACCAGCATCATCCTTCTTCCTTACCTCCAGATCATTCTCACCCATCCCCCGTTGTCCCCATCTCTGCCCCCTCCCTCCCTTTGCCCCCTGTATCCCCCCCCGTCCTGGCGAGCGCACTGGCCCAGGAAGACTGAAGCAGGTGTGGAAGGAGGAGTGGTCACTCGAGCGGCATGTGTGAGGGGAGACGAAGGAAGATGCGTTGGAGGAGGAGGAGGAGGAGGAGGAGGAGGAGAACTCAGAGGAGGGAGATGAGAAAGAGGGAAGAGAATGGGGGAGGATGAGTGGATGAGCGACGAGCACCCTTTGCGATCCTGCCTCAGTTGGCCAGTTTCCAGGGCGCACGCGCCGCCCTTGTCGGACTGCAGGCCTTCTCGGCCTCACTCGCGGTCGCAGCTGCAGCGACGCCAGCCTTTTGGCTACCATGGTTTTGCGACAAGCTCCAGGTTATGGGCCAGGGCGGACTGGGCATATGCGAATGTGCGGGCAGCGAGGCTTGCTGGGCGGACCAGCTCGTGTATCGGGTCGAGGCCGCGGGCGTCATGGTCTTCCTCTTTCTGCTGCTCATGGCGGCTAGCGGGTGCGTCCAGGGCGCGGTCTTCAAGAATACAGTGGGGAAGTTCATGGCCATGTTGTTCATCCCCCTCGCGCTGCTAGCCGTTCCCAACACGGTCCTGCGCGCATACGGCGAGGTCGCCACGGCTTCATCTGCGGCGTTCTTGGTGATGCAGGCCGTGCCATTGATCGATTTCGGCTACTCTTGGAGCGAAACGTGGTTCAGGAAGGCCGAGGATGCGCGGCGGGCGGCTGAGCGGCGGGGGGACTTCCAGTCTTTCCCGTGGTGGAAGGCGGGTATTCTGGCCGCGGCAGCAGCGCTCTTCATCGGATCGATTGCCGCGTCCGTGTACATGTTCATCGCCTCCCCCGAGGTTGGTGCTCGGAGCGTCACTACTGCCGCGTGGGGGGTGGCTGCAGCACTGACCGTGGTGGGCATCACGTGTGTGGATGACGGCCCGCTGCTGACCTCGTGCGTCGTCATGGCATATGCCGCCTGGCTCACCTGGGAGGCTCTCGCGACACTGCCGAGCGGCGGCGGCCCAAGGCTCCCCCCGTGGGCCGCGGTCACCACTTGCCTTGCCTCGCTGCTGTGGTTCTCGAGGGGCACCACCAGGGCCGCCCTGCCCGCCGGCCAGGAACCCTTGATCATTGCCGCGCTGCCCGGGCCCGCGCCGCCGCCAGGGTCCGCCGACGCGGCCACTTTCGGTGTGCAAGGTTCGAAGGAGTTTGTCGTCCAGTGCGCCATGCACGCGGCTGCGGGCATCTACATCACCGCCGCGCTGGCGCCGCGGGCGAGCGCCCTTGCGTATGGCCTGCGCGTCGCCGCGGTGTTCCTCTCGCTCGCCCTCTACTGCTGGGTCCTTGTGGCGCCACACGTGTTCCCGAACCGCACCTTCGGTGGGTGAGAGCCGCGGCAGCGTGGGGAAACGCTGCAAGATGGCCGCTGCCTGATGCCCAGGATGCAGCTTGCGAGTTTGAGTGTTCCCCGTTGAGCTTCATCCCCGTCTTCCTCCTCCTCCCCCTCATCATCATCCAATTGTTCCCCATCCTCCTGCTCCACCCTCCCTCACCCTACAGTCAACCCGCACAGTAAGAATGGGCAACTTTCCCAAGGGTACCCTTGCACCCTTACCTCATCGGTCCATCCTTGGCCACTTTCGTTGACCGCGCCCCACTCGAAAAGCTCCGAAATGAAGTTCCAAGTCCCCTGGATCCTTGTCCCGCATCCTTGTGATACAGGTTGACTGTACGTGTTGTGGTGCGCCCGTGTGGAAATACAATGCTGCGGCGGGGCGCCTTCGCGCAAGGGATCGAATCGAGCCACGCGTGTCCCCGCTCTTCCGCCTCCCCCCCTTTCTGATGGGGGGGCAGGGCAGGGAAAGGGGAGGCGCAAGGAGACGCTGGAAGGGAGGGCGGGGGCGAGGGGGCGAGGGGGTGAGAGGGGGGGACGCCGCCCAGCAGATGGGAGGGCGCCACCACCCCCGTCGACGCGCTCGCTTCCAGTTTAGCGGATTCACGACAGGCCCCCCTCGTGGCCTCCTCTCCCCCATCCCTCCCCAACCCCCTCCGCCTCCAGAGACTTCCGCAGTCTCAATGGGAACAAGGAGCGTCCAATTGCTTGGATTCTTGCCCCCCCTTTCCCCCCCAGTCTCCGACGATCTCATGTGTTTCGATATTTGGCGCCGTTCCTCAATTTGGGCCTCTGACGCCGTTTCTCGTGCTCTGGAGCTGGCCAAGATTGGATCCCCCCTCCTCCTCCTCCTCCTCCTCCTCCTCCTCCTCCTCCTCCTCCTCCTCCTCCTCCTCCTCCTCCTCCTCCTCCCCCTCCTCCCTCCTCCTTCTCCTCCTCCCTCCTCCTCCTCCTCATCATCACCACACCACCACCACCACTATCATCATCATCATCAGCATCATCATCAGCATCAGCAGCATCATCATCATCATCATCATCATCATCATCATCATCATCATCCCCCTTCCTCCTCCTCCTTCATCCTCCTCCTCGTTCTCCTCCTCCTCCTCCTCTCCTCCCCGTCCTCCTCCTCCCCCCTCAGCTTCCTCGAAGACCTCCTCCTCTTCGAGTCCTCCTCCTCCTCTTCCCCCTCCTCCTCCTCCTCCCCCTCCTTTCCCTTCCTCCTCCTCCTCCACCACCACCACCATCATCATCATCATCATCATCATCATCATCATCATCATCATTCATCATCATCATGATCATGATCATCATCATCATCATCATCATCATCATCATCATCCCCTTCCTCCTCCTTCTCCTCATCCTCCTCCTCCTCCTCCTCCTCCTCCTCCCCCTCATCATCATCACCACCATCATCATCATCATCATCATCATCATCATCATCATCATCATTCATCATCATCCATCATATCTCATCCCCCTTCCGCCTCTTCTCCTCCTGCTCGTTCCCCTCCTCCTTCCCTCCTCCCCGTCCTCCTCTCCTCCTCCTCCTTCTCTCATCCTCCATCCTCCTCCCTCCTCCTCCTCCTCCTCCCCCTCCTCCTCCTCCGCCTACTCCTACTCCTCCTCCTCCTCCTCCTCCTCCTCCTCCTCCTCCTCCTCCTCCTCCTCCTCCTCCTCCTCCTCCTCCTCCTCCTCCTCCTCCTCCCCCTTCCTCCCAGCGTAGCTGGCAGTGAGGTCCCCCTTGGGTGCAGGACCGGGCTTTCTGTCCGCGGGCGCAAGCAAACGCCGTGCCAGGAAGCATGTGCTCGGGAAGGTTGGGCGAGGGAGGGGAAGAGACGCCGGCCGCGCAGCCTCCCCGCAACCCGAGCGGGAAGGCAGGAGGAGGAGGGGAGGGAGGACTTCGAAGAAGAGGAGGTCTTCGAGGAAGCTGAGGGCGAGGAGGAGGAGGAGGAGGAGGAGCAGGAGGAGGAGGAGGAGCAGGAGGAGGAAACTTAGGAGATTTCGACGAGGAGGAGGAGAAGACGAGAGGAGAGGAGGACGAGGAGGCAAGGCGTACGTATCTCGCGCGGGGGTAGCCTGTGCGGCGAGATCTTGTTCGCCCAATCGTCGGCCCAAACTTCCAGTTTACTACTGACAGCGCATACGTGTAATATGTTCTGTTTATGTTCCCCCTACTATTCCTCATCATCCTCGCCTAATGTCGGTGGCGCGTGCCCAGCTCATAGTAGCGCACAGTCTCATTGGCACGTGTTGCGATCATTGGCAAAAAGTGCTCGGGGATGAGGGAAATAGAGTGGAGGATAGGACAGAGAGAGAGAGGAAGGGGGATCATGGAGAGGAAGGTTAGAGAGGGGGAGGGCAGGGGACATCAGAGGCAAGCGCATGAATTCGTACTCAGCCCAGCGTTCTTGTCGAGCGGCCTTCGGCCCATCCCGCCGCCGCGCATGGTTCGCAATCAAGAGGTATATTGGAGGCGCGTTGGGGTCTCTTGGGAAGGCCGTGAAGGCATTCATGGGGCCTCTTATGGCGTCTTGAGATCTCTTGGGGGCGTCTTGGGGCTTCTGGAGATCTCTGGGAGGCTTCTTGGGAGCACGCTGGGGGTCTCGGGTGCCATCTTTGGGGGAAGGGCTCGACGTGTCAGTTCAGATTCCTCCTCTTGGGGCTCTCTTGGGGGCCTGGGCCGTCGTGGGGTCCTCTCTGAGGCAGCTTGCTCTGCCTTGAGGCCTCTTTGGCGTTTTGGAGCATCGGAAGCCCGAATGAGCGAGAATGTCCACATCCTTCAACAGCTTTCTTAATAGATCAATGATTTCGCCCCTTGGGGTCCTCTGTGGGCATCTCTTGGAGCCATCTTGGAGCGGTGCTGGGCTTGCTGGGCCGTCCAAAGCCGTTTTGGGGCGTTTGGGGGGGCGTCTTGGGCCGTAGTGGCGCTATCTTGGGCCGTCTTGGGAGTCTCGTGGACGGCCCTGTGGTTTTATCAAGACCTTCGTGGGCCGTCCTGGCGGATTTGGGAGTCGTTGTGAGCGGGAGGGGCGTCCAGCAGGCTCATGCGCCACATCCTGGAAGCACCCGCGCGACGCCGAGAGACCCGTACGATTGCATGCACCTTTGGGCACTCCAGGTCGTGTTGAAGCAACGGTGGCGGATACTGCGTGATGTCCAGAGGGGATCGGAAAGGCAGGAGGTCGCCAAGAATTCTTTAGCGTCTGCACATGGAAGAGTCCTCGAGGCGCAAACCGCTTCGCCATTGCTCCCTGGCTCCTACTGCCACCTCCTGTGTGGCGTCCACGCCAGGGCATGACGACGAGTTGACAGGCGTGCCTGCCCAATCTGACGCGTGATAAACCATCTCTGTTATCCAGGTCAGTTGTCTTGCATGCGCCTGCACCCCGAGCTGCGCTCTATCCCAGCGATCGAGAACAGGATTCCAGACTGCAGCAGCACCACCACCCTTTGGAGAGAGATTGCATTGACCACAAAGTTGTGTGGCCCTGATGTCTGAGTTCTTCATGGCCGCAGGATTGCCATCTGCCATTGCCACGTCTGCCGTCCAGCATGTCCGCTTCCCTCTCCCACGAGCCTGGCAAGGTCCGAGCAGCCGCGTCAACCTCGTCGACCCCGTGAACGAGGCGCAGGCTCCTGGCCGAGCGGTGAGCTGGGCAACTAAGGGTAGTCGACCGCGGACCGCCCAGGCGCGTCCGACGCCCGTCCAGGCTCTGCCTGGCACGCCACGAGCGCCTCGTGTGGATAGCGAGACGCGGAGGGGTTTTGCGCATTGGATTTCTCGATACTTGAGCCCTGCAGCTGCGGAGAAGAGCGAGCTGGCGTCGTCCCCGGCACCGCCTCCTTGGCACGGCCGCTCTTTGCCGTCACCATCGGTTCGTTCGCACACCGCGCCGCCTCCCGCCGCTGGCGTTGCCTGTCGCTGCCACCTGGCCAGCAGTATGCAACGATGGCGGTGCGTAGCGTTGTTGCGTCTGCCGCGAATGGCTGTGCAGGTATTTCCTGCGGGGAGGGTTGGCAACACAGTGTACGGTAGACACTGTTTGTTTAGCGTGTCGCGGCACGCTAAGCACGTCCCGGTCTCCGAGCGTCGACGTCATGAGTTTTTCCCACTCTCTCGCCCCGCGGAGGGGAGCGCACGGTATAGTGTCGTCGGGGCCGCCGCCGCGATTCTCTAAGCAAAGGACCTTGACCGCATCAGGGGCAGCGCTCGGGAGGGATACTCCAGATTTCGTAATAAAAGGAGGGGGGTCTCATTTCGGGCGGGGGGTCTCTTCCAGGCTATCTTGGAGGGCCTGGGGGGTCTGGGGACGATGTTTTGGAGGGTTCTCCCACGGGGGAGGTCTGAAATGGCTTGTCTTGGAGGGTCCAGACCCCCTCCCTTTTATTACGAAATCTGGAGTAGGCTCAGGGAGGATGCGTTGTCCCCAAATCGCCCACTTTTTCGCCAATATGGGCCTGATGGCCCGCCCTGCTGTGGAGCGTGCGGCTTCGCTATCGGGGGTCCGTCGCCGCTTTCTCGCCGAGTCCCGCTCGACGTCTCCCCCCGTGAGCCAGTCCCCCGATCATTGCAACTCAGTGCAGCAAGGTGGCGCGTCGCGCCATGTCACACGCCTCGTGTCCCTCTTCCTTCCTTTTTCTCCTGCCCTGCTGTCGCGGCTGCCGCTGCCCTGGCTTGCCCTCTCTTCCCCCCGCCCCTCGTCCTGCTCACCAGTCGCGCCTCGCGCTTGCGAGTGCGTAGGCCTGACTCACGCTGGCGTTGTTCGGCGGCGAGCTCAGGTGGGAAGTCGGACGGGGCGGGCCCTTCTCAGAAGGCTCGGAAAGCCTCTGGCCTTCTGGGAAGTCTTCTCAGCCTTCTCCGAAGACAGAGGCGGCTTCTCAGAAGGCGCGCGAGCTTCTGAGAAGCCCCGCCGCCTTCTGAGAAGGCCTGCCCCTTCTCGTTTCCCCCCCGGGGCTCGCCGCCAGCTGACTCCTCCCGGTGCCGGC